GTGTTGCCAGCTAATGTTCCAGATGCTTCATATATTTAACAGATCTAACCTTTGTAGCAGTGCTCTGAGACAGGTGCTGTTATTATGCCCATTTTACAGATAAAGAAACCGAGGCAAAGTTAGATTACGTAGCTTGCTTGTGTCACATACCAAGAAAGTAGTGAACCTAAAATGCAATTCTAAGGCACCTTGACCAGGACACCAATCACAAGGGAGAAAGGTTGGGGACAGTGTGAGGTGTCAGGTGGGCCTCAGTCAAGGGCCTGGGATTTGGAATGTAGAGGCAATCATTTACATGCAGATGAGAAAGTTATAGTTAAGGGATGGTGGGGTCAGGGTCGGGGTCGTGGGGGAATTGCTAGGGAGACCAATTGCTAGGGAGACCTGAGAGATAAGATACTGCACCATAAGTCAAATAGGGTGTGAATGAGGATAGAGTTTAGTGTGTGTCCTTACATCTGTCTCTGACTTGTTGGGGACATCATTAAATATGGTTTGATATTTAACCCTGTGGTTTGTATTCTGAAAAATGCACAGAAGCCAAAACATCTAAGCAGATGCAGGACTGTTCGGTGTAGGGTAAGGAGGGGAGGAGGCAGAGTTAGAGGCTGAGCTGTCCACATGCGACTGGGCTGGGTAGAGACAAGAGTGCAGCTAGAGGATAGCACTGGGGCTCATCCTCCGGAATCAGGAGAACCCAGGAAATGTCTGGAAGCCTCGCTGTGATTTTAACCAGCACTCAGGGAGTTCCTGGCAACGGGCTGTCCATTTCTGGCAAATGAACAATTCTAGCCAGATCGTGTTGGTAAATGTTTCTTTATCTTTGCTCTGCAGCTGATCACAGAAGGTCTGAGGGATAAGTTCTGGATGAGAACAGAAATCTTGGAACTAAACCAAAGTTTACACTAAACAAGCTACCTCCTTATTTCCTTTGCTTGGTGCTGGGATCCTCTTAGGATCTTACAAACCTTTGATTCTATATTGATACAAAGGTATAAAGGCGAACTACATTGCAAAGATGCTAGCACTCAACAAACCTGTAAGGGGACATGACATTTGCTGTATAAAGACAACCATTTTTCCTCTTAAGTGACAGAGCACGTGTAAAATATACTCCAGAATTGGGCGTGTAGGGAATTTCTTTTTATGTAACTCCTATTTAAGAGTCAATATCTATACCTGGGGGGGGGGGGAAGGAAAATTATGCTGATCCCACATGAATGATTCTCACTTTAGCTGCTCAAACCACCACCCCGATGCCCGGTCCCACCCCCAGAGGCTCTGATTTAATTTGTCTGGAGCAGGACTTGGGTAGCAGCATCTGCAAGGTGCCTGTGACTCAGACATGTGGTCATGGCTGAGACCACTGTCTCTGATGCTGGGTGTGGGTCCTACACCCATGCCTGCAGCCAGGCAAATGCCACTTCGAATGTCCAAGGGAACATCTCTTCTCTTACATTTCTGCATGTTGTGGGGAAGAAATGATCAGACATGCAATGAACAGGTACAAGTCCTGACTTTGGGTTTATAGCTTAAGTCTTCTGGCTCTAGATTTCTTTCTTAACTAAGTGATATCATCCAAATGGCAGATTTCCATTCCCCTGGCACCTCTGGCATTCTCTTATTCAGGGCCTGTGGTTCGGAACCCTATTGAAAAATACTGATGCTTTGACTCCCCTCTGAACAATATAATCTGATTGGTCTGGGGTGAGGCTATGCATCAATATTTTCAAACGCTCCCCAGGTGACTTTGATGTGCAGCCAGAATTGAGTACCATGGGTCCATGTACTCTGTGGAACCAAAGTCTTTTCAGACAGATGAGATTTGCACATGAGAGAGAGAGAGAGAGAGAGAGAGAGAGAGAGAGAGAGAGAGAGAGAGAGAGAGAGAGAGAGAGAGAGAGAGAGAGAAAGAGAGAGAGAGAGACTGAGGGAGAGAGAGTGGATGTATATAGTATCTTTGTACATAGAGGTGCTAGGGCTGTAATTCCAGCTGAGAGAATGGTGGGAATTCACACTCGGTCTCATATTAATTCAGGAATACAGAAGTGAAACACACACACACACACACACACACACACACACACACACACACACCCACGCTGTCTTATCTAATCCCTGCTGATTGTTCTGTTCACATAGTGGAGAAGGGATGCCAAGTGACTGGGATTCCAGCCCATTTCCATTCCCCACTGGCTTCCTAGGAATGAAGACAACAGGTAAAACCGCCTGGCACCATCCCACCACCGGGCATTCACACACTGCTTTACGGTCCTCCCAGCCTGTGCCTGTATGGTATCACTTTATCCTCGTAAGACTGACATTATGATATTGTGAGATTATGAGATTATGATATCACTTTATCCTCATAAAATTAAGATTGATTTTCTTCATTTTAGAGATAGAAATCCTGAGACTCAGGAGAAATTAAGCGGCTGGTCCAAGAATGCACCACTAAAAAGTAGTGGATGCCAATATTCTAACCCAAACCTGTGACTTGAATTCATCTTTTAAAAATGTACTTGACTTCCTACATCTACATTGGTCCTGCTGCCACCCAATCCTCAGGAGACCAGGCCTTGAGGGGTGGTGAAGGGCATGGGCTGGTCATGCTGATTTTTCCTCTGTACCCCATGGAGGGTCAATGTCGAGAGAAGAGAGTCCAAGCTAGTTAAGTTCTAGCCAACTGTCACCTTAATCCTGAACAATAAGATCTCATTTTTCTGAATCTTTTTCTCCTTTAAAAAAAAAAAGTCAGTTATGTTGTAATTAAAAAGATAATCTTCAAAGTAGCCAGAGCAAAAAAGGCCCAGATACCTTGATTCCATAGAACAACAGAGCTATGTCAGGTTTGCCCCGCAGGTTCAACAGAGCTTTGAGGAGGCTCAACTTTTTTGAAGTTCTCAGACTCTTAAAGAAATCACCTTCAGGGGCAAAGTCGAATTCCTGAGCCCATGTCTTCGGGGCTCTTTAACAGAGATCACCGCTGAAGTCCTCCTATAGTCATGTGATAGAATCAAAACCCAAACTGCTTAACACAGAAATACAGCGGCAGAGGAACATTCCAGGGAGCCAGAGAGTGAAGCATTTCACGGGGGCAAAACAAGTGAAAAAAACTATGCGAAAGCAAAGTGAAGTTTCTAATATATAGCTGTGAGCACATGTGTGAAGAGTTTGGGGCCAAAGGAACATGATACATTTTATGCTCCCTTCGCCCTTTAGAATATATATTCAGATTTCAGCACAAACTCTAGAGAGAGGTTTACAAAATTATGTACTGAAAAGTAGGCAGTATAAAATGGTGATAATAATGCCGGTCGCTCAGAGGCCCAAAATAGTGACAAGATCACCCATTTGCCTGAGAGATTTCACAGCAAACATTTCCAGCTTCCGAACAGAAGTAAATTAGCCTGTGGAGGCTGGTGCGTGGAAATCATGCTAGCGCGACAAAACAATTCTGAGGTTTCAGTCGCGGTAATACTTAGAGCTTCCAGAAGAAGGATTAGAAGAGCTCAAATTAAAATATAATGAATAGGTCTAAGCTTCTCCACTAAACACTTGAAAATTAAGACTTTACTAGGCGACTGGGAAGGCCTGGAGTTATCCCTTCCTTCAACAGCGCTCCACCTCACCCTGCTCTGCTTCAAAGGGACCCCTGTGTACAGAAGGCCCCAGGGAATGGAGAGTGGGAGGGGCAAGCTGCTTATTGTGAATGTCTCTTCGAGAAGCTGGAGACCATCTAAAAAAAGTGCCAAGGACGAGGCCACTGTCATAATAACTGGGATCTTCATTTTATGCGTCCGATACCTTGAACTGGTGTTGGCTAATTGTGTGGAAAGCGAGGGTCAGGTTAAGTTTTTTTTTTTTTTTTTTTTTAAATAAGGGGATTAGAAGATTTGAACTTCTCTTCGATGACTGGGAGTAACTTACCCTGGAAGGCAGCGAGTGGCCTGAGTCTTTGAAAACTCATTTGGATTCCACCTCTGCCACTCACCAGCTGCCCACTGGTAAGATGGCAAGGACAATGCCTGTCTCCCTCAGCAGATATGAGGATTAAACTAAGCAAATACATAGAAAACCCCATGGACAGAGCCTCGCGCAAGAAAATGCTCAATAAAAGTTCTTTTTCTCTCTCCTCTGATTTTGGTCTAAGATGCAATGACTTTGGTCTAATTAGGCAGAAATTCAGTGCCTCTCTTTGTGACACAGCATTTCTTTGAGCTAGTAGAGATTTCAATCACAAGTGCTTACAATAGTCCGTGTTCATATGTTTTCACTTTCCTTAAAAAATGGGTCTGTGTTAATTCATCACCCAGTATTTCTTTAGTTCTTATTGATAACAATTGATGTTGTAGGTAGCCCTGAAATCTATACTATGTTTTTATTAATGAGGATTCATGCTAATGAAATATTTGAGGTTGGAAATTTTGTGAGCAAAGGCAGAAACAATCAACAAACAGAATATGGTTTCCCTCATCATTTCCCAACCTTGGTCATAGAGTCTGACCTCCTCTCTGAATTAGATGATGTCTGACTTTAGTCCAAGGTAGGAGGACTCCATCATGTCTCTTAGGGCTCAGCATCTGCCCATGAACTTGACTAAGTGGCTTTTCAACTCTCTCTTAACGACCAGTTAAGAAGAGTCCCAGGGAAGGTGCCTTATCCTCAGATGGAATGAGTCTCTGATCTTTCCAATGGGGCTACCATCTCGTGTATCTGGTAACCTGAACGGGTTTTGGCTAGGTGGGTGGATATCTAGAACCCTCTCTGAGAGCACCAACTTCTTTAATTGAGGAAGCCCAAGCAACAATGAGGAGGCCCAGCTTGGAAGAGGTAGACAATTCTCAGTTAGGGGAGAGGAGCAACTGTGAGCAATCCAGGACTGTTATGAAAAATCGATTTATATGTAAATTTGCATTGTATGTTAAAAATGTTTTAAATCAGAAATAGAGAATTATGCATGGTGCATACACATGTGGTGAAGAAAGCTGTGTACTCACCTGTCCCGGCTGTTCACAAGCTGTCTGGTACCTGGCCTGCTGGCACAGCTCTTTGACCCTCTCGTATTTGGGCAGGTGATTTGACTGCTGGATATTCTTGTTGGCTTCTTCTTTCTTACGGAGAAATTTCCTTTGACAAAAATGGAAAAGCTTCTTAAGTAAGAAGTGATTTGCGTTACTTAATTACCACCTTCCTGCTCCTCCCACCCCCCCCCCCCCCGTCACATGACTCCACATTCCTCAAACACCAAGAAATAGATGGTAAGGCTCTGACCACAGGTGTTCCATATTTGATGAGTCCCTCTCGATGAGCTGGATGCTATGAAAATGAGAGGTCAGGGTAGGAGGAATCACTTCTCCTCAAAGCTCTGGACCCATATTTTAGCTTCACAGACTCAAAATTCTTTTTGTTGAAAAGCAATCATGGAAATGCCTTTTCTCAATGTGTGGATGGAGAAAAACAAAGCCATTGAGCGTCATAAATCTAAAGGGGAAATCCAGAAGCAACTAAGGAAATAACCACAACCTCGGATGTTTATATATTTAAAACTAAGAATGGCACACCAGGAAAGGAAGTAGAAAGGTGCCAGGTGGAACTTGGGAAGGAAGGTTAAGAAAGTCCACTCACTGGTCTGATTAAGGCTGAGAAAACAACAGTAAAATCCACAGCCATGTAACAGTTAATGAGAATTTATCCTTTGCGGTTCTGATGCAACAATCGTGACTCTTCTGGCCAGCAGAGAAGGACTAGCAAACCATTCAATTTTGTTACCAGACTTATGAAATCTGTACGCTTAAACCCAAAATAAGGGGGGGAAGTACCCAGCAGGGAGCGCTTCCCACTAGGACTGGTTCCCAGAAGCACCCAAGCCACCAATAATTACCCTCTTTCCACGAGGAATGTATCCCGCCAAATCTTGGCCTTTTTGTTTGTTCGAAACCTGAAAGCAAAATAATAATATTTACAGTTGGCAGCTGGACGCCTTTCCGAAAGGGGCTGTGCTAACAGTTTGTTTAAAGGAACACCTCTTGCTTCCCACAGACCATGATTGCGCCTCCGGTACAGGCTACATGCAAACCCTCGGGGGGACTCCTCACGGCGTCCTCCACGTCAGGGGAGAGAGCTACTTGGCTTCTATCTCCCCCGGCTGCTGGCCGGCTCTGGAAGCCAGTGCTCGGGGCTGGCTGCGGGAGAGAAAATGGACACACCTGTTACCTGGCTTCTCCAGGTCCAGAAGTTTGAGGACAGACTTGCCATCCACGTCGGGAGGTGGGTCAAGTCCAGCGATATCCAGGATCGTAGGAGCCAGGTCAATGTTGAGGACGATCTGCGGGACTCTGCAATGGCACAGGTGGTTATGCCGCAGAGCCGGCAGCAGTGGAGGGTGGCATGTGGGGCTGCTGTCTCCACACCAGTGGTCGGCAAACTGCGGCTCGAGAGCCACATGCAGCTCTTTGGCTCCTTGAGTTTTTAGCAAAGGCCAGCTTAGGAGTACCCTAAGTAAGTTAATAACAATGTACCTACCCATATAGTTTATTTTTATTTTTTTAAAAATTCGGCTCCTAAAAAATTTCAATCGTTGTACTGTTGATATTGGTCTCTGTTGACTAATGAGTTTGCCCACCACTGCTCCACACCATGACTCACTGGCCTCCAGTGCCTCTCCCCTCCAGCTGGTCTCCGAGGGAGGGAGCTGCATTTGGCCACGGCCAAGTGGCCAGCAGGGATGGCATGGAGCGAGATTAATTGTCTGTCTCAGGGGTCACTGGAGAGATGCCCAGATCCCTGAACTCTGGCCACACTGTGACACAAATCGAGGCCCGATAATGGTTTTTGTAAGGCTGTATACTTTCTTTTAAAACCCGATAGCCTGGCCCAGCCAGTGTGCCTCAGAGGTTGAGGGTAGACCAATGAACCGGGAGGTTACAGTTCGATTTCCGGTCAGGGCATGTGTCTGGGTTGTAGGCTCCATCCCCAGCAGGAGGCAGCCAATCAATGATTTTGTCTCATCATTAATGTTTCTATCTCTCTCTCTTCCTCTCTGAAATCAATTAAATATATATATATATATATATATATATATATATATATTTAAAATCCGATAGCCTGTAACTTCTCTGTTAAACCAGGGCTTTAAAATCGATTTCTATATTGCAGGGAATGCAATATACAGATCATGTATTATTGAAATCTACATTTGAAATGTGTATAATCTTATTAACCAATGTCACCCCAATAAAGTAATAAAAATAAATAAAATAAAATTCTAAGGAAAGATACAAGGTTTTTACAGGTGAATCCAACCCACATCACCTAGACTTTCAAACATAAAGCCTTCTAGTTCTAGATTCAATAATTTCTAATGGCCTGAAGAGAATAATAACATGTTCCCTAGAAACCCCTCTTTCTGGCATCGCCTTCTCCCGGGAGAGCCAGATATCTGGGTCTGGGTCCCGGTGCTGCTCCTTCCAGACTCGGGACTCTGAGAGGGAGGCACACTTGCTGTGTGAGGGTTTCTTCACTAAACCAGGGGTCTAGGCTCGATGCTCTTTAAGGGCCCTTGCAGCTTTTGAATTCTACTTGCATTCTTTTCTCCCACTTCCCATAACTGTTTCATGCCCACGTTCACATTTTATACAAAACATCCTATTGAGATTGGCAGGTCACATGAACTCCTATTATGATGAGAAAAGAGAGGTGCAGTGGCTTGTCTAAGGTGACAGGAATGGGACTCCAGTCCTTTAGGCTTCTTCTTTTTAAAATCATGCTTTAAAATATTTAATTTAAGAAGATGGACGGCCCACATTAAAATAGTGTATCTCTGATTCAAACAAAGTAAGGATGATGTCCCTAATGGCTATATCATATATCTGTGTACACAGGCCCACGTGACGTGGATTCTGGCCCATTTCAGAGAATTAATCATGGGCCCAGTTACTTTTCCTCTTTAAATTGTATACTTTAGTTAAATTAACCTGTGGCGAGGCAAGGGCGGTGTAGGATTTCGTCTTCTCGATTACCAACCTCTATGCAATCTTTTCTTGTTTTGGATGAAAGGAAACCAGACACTGAGATTAGTAATCGAATTATCTCAGACGTCCATGAGCTACGACAGCTGAACGTCGCCAGCAGAGGAATACGTACATGGATCCGGGTTCCACGCTCGGCCCGCGAATGAAGAAAGGCACTCGGATATCAAAGTCGTACGGCATGGACTTCCCCTTGACCAGCCCGAACTGCCCGATGTGGTAGCCATGGTCAGCGGTGTAGATGATGTACGTGTTCTCCAGCTCCCCCGTGTCCACCAGCATGTTATACAGCTGCAACACAGCCCGGCGACAAGTCAGAAGCAGTTGTGATGGCCTAAGACGGCAACAGCATGGCAACGATTCCTCCCAAATTTCCCCGTTATATTTAAAAGGTACGTGTTGCTTTAATAGGACCGACAAATGCAAATGTTAACTACATTTTCTTGCTGCTTACAATCTTGAAGGAAAACAGTCCAATATAAAAGTTGAAAAAAAGTAACATTTTTTATTTATTTTTATTTATTTATTTTAAATATATTCTATTGACTTTTTACAGAGAGGAAGAGAGAGGGATAGAGAGTTAGAAACATCGATGAGAGAGAAACATTGACCAGCTGCCTCCTGCACACCCCCCACCGGGGATGTGCCTGCAACCAAGGTATGTGCCCTTGACCGGAATCGAACCTGGGACTTTTCAGTCCGCAGGCCAACGCTCTATCCATTGAGCCAAACTGGTTTCAGCAAAAAGTAACATTTTTTAACCTGGCTCATGTTCCTTAAATGTTTTTGTTTACCTGTTTGCAAGGGAAAAAAACAACAACACACAGAACATTCACAAAGCAACCTCCAGCACCAAACTTATAGGCTTTACTTTAGAACATTCATTGTTAAAGCAAATTTTAATATCATCAGTCTTACAGCTATTTATCAAGAGTTAAAAACAGGCTGTTTCTGAGCCTGATCCAAGTAGATTTAGCCTATAGGCAGGTCTTACTTGGCTTACATTGTTCTAAAATGAATGAAATTTCAAATAAATTTTTTTTTTGAATTTCTGGATTCACACTCCACAGGGCAAAAGTTGGCTGGAGCTGAGTAGCTGCTCCTTGCTTTAGATGGAACTTAATTTAAGATTATCACCATCCTCACTACACCCTATTGTCTTCTACTGGACCTGCTTTCGTTATTTACATTATTCGCTGAATTCCTGAAGGTATTTGTGGGTGTTGACCTGGATGTTGCCCTGAAATTAAAATGATTTGATTTTTATTTCCTCTTCGCTATTGGCTCCATAAGAACCAAGTCTAGAGAGGTAATAGAAGGGAGCAGAAGATAAGGGAAGGCTGACAGGTTTTCTTTTTCACTTCTCCTGGGGGAAAAACACACCAAAAACACACCAAACCAAACAAAAATAACAAAACAGAAATGGAAAAAAACAAACAAAACAAAACAGGTGGGACAAGAATGGGAAGTTAGACTAAAACCTGGAAGGGAGGCGAGCTCCTGTGCTTACCCTTTCAACAGAGTCATCCACTGACATCAAAGTCTGAAGCCGTTTGCGATGGAGGACGTTTGTGAATTCCATGTGGATGGGCAGCATGGGTCCCGTGTACTGCATAATCCAGTGTTTGTCCATATTTGGTGCATAGTTATAACTGGGAGTTCTGAAAATACCCAGAAAGGAGTTTTACTATGTTTTTTTTAGCCTCTTAGAGAAATATCTCAAGTTAAAGATTGTGAAATTACCATTTAGGAAAGATAACTGAGATTCTGCTACATGATTTCCCTCTCCCATGTGTCTGTCTTCTCTCTGTGAGTTTAGGAAGATCTGAAGGATTCACCACCCCAAATAGCACACATCCTCTGAAAGTATATATGGATTCAACTTTATAAAAGCAAGACTGGCAGCTAAAAATCTAATTAGTGCAAGTTCACTTGGGTTCACTGTGGAAACACATCAAGATGCTTATAGTAACGTTACAAATCTACAGATAAAACTTGGTAATGTAGGAGGGAATATAATGTTCCCATGGTGATGTTAACTCGTAAAATTTTATTGCTAATTAGGCTATTAAATATGGTCACAAATATGTGGAATGATGAATCATAATTTCAACACATTTTTTTCCTATTGAATTTACTAGGGTGTTTTGTAGATTATTAACTATATGGGGTGGGCAAAAATGGGCTTACAGTTGTTTGGAAATAATACAATAATAAATAATAATACAAGAAATAAGCTCTGTTTCACATACACACAACTGTTAACCTACTTTTACCCACCCTTGTATTTCTAGCCTCTACGAGTTTTTCTCAATCCTAACCTTGTATATTTAGTTACCCTGAACATAATTGGATTTACTGGAATTATAACCAAGCCTATTCTGCAATATACGTGCTTACCAATAAAACTGTTACTTTATAGACAAATCAATAGCTGTGCAAGGCATAATTTTTGTTAACTACAGGTCAGGTCAGGGCAAGCCTATATTTAATCTATTGCAAATCCCAGGGGTATCCCATACTAACACTTTTCACTGAAAAACCCACAAAAGAAGTCACCTTTTCTTTGAAGTTTTACCCAACTCCTTCAACCAGGAGACACTCCCCTCATCTTCCCAAAGGACACATCTATGCTGCAGCAATCCTCACACTATTATTTGTGTATATTTGACCTCTCCATCACACTCTTCTATTCCAAAGATTCACTTCCTCTAACAAAACGAAAGAAAAGTGAAGCGAGGCTTTTTCATATGACCCACAACTTTACACATAATCAGTCTCAAGAACAAGCAACAGCCTGTGTTGACTGAAAAATTTGGTTACCACCTCTGTCTGTTTGGGAGTATCCTATCAGTGAAAGACTGTGGGTCATAATGACTGAAGGTGTCGCCGTGACATTAGTTATACTATCCAAGCCCAGAGAGACTACCAGCCACAAGAGAGCCCATGCTTGTGCCCTGGGACATTTCCATGCACACCGTGCTCTACCAATGCCACCTGTTATTGTACGTTTCCTTCTGCCAGGGAATTTGCAGAACATCTGCTTTCGCACCCAACAACTCCAAAGCCAGCACAACACGGAGCACAGAAGACACTGTACAGCTTATGCTCATCTCCTTCTTTTTTTTTTTTCTTTCTTTTTTTTTTTAATATTTTTATAGATTTCAGAAAGGAAAAGGAGAGATACAAACACCAATTCTCAGAGAGAATCATTGATCAGCTGCCTCCTGCACGCCCCCCTACTGGGGATCAATCCTGCAACTTGGGCATGTGCCCTTGAAAGGAATCAAACCTGGGACCCTTCAGTCTGTAGAGTGACGCTCTACCCATTGAGCCAAACCAGTTAGGGCTCATCTCCCTTTTATTTATTTGTTTTTATTTATTTATTTTTAAATATATTTTATTGATTTTTCACAGAGGAAGGGAGAAAGATAAGAGAGCCAGAAACGTCAATGAGAAAGAAACATTGGCAGCCGCCTCCTGCACATCCCCCACCGGGGATGCCCGCAGCCAATGTACATGCCCTTGGCCGGAATCGAATCCGGGACCTTTCAGTCCGCAGACCGACGCTCTACCACTGAGCCAAACCAGCTTCGGCTCATCTCCCTTTTAAAGAGGCACATTTGTAGAGCGCAAGAAGCCGGTGTGGCTCAATTTGCTCACCTGTAAATGGGGATAATAGCACCTCTCTTAAAAAGCTTTTTTGAGGAACAACTTGATCTGTCTGCCTGTGTCTACCAATCTACTCCTTATATCTATTAATATCTACTATCTATCTATCTATCTACCTACCTGCCTACCTAGTCTATCACTTAAAGTGCTTAGAACAGAGGAAGCACATGAGTTTCCTACATGAGCCAATAAACAAATACATTTTATATAAATAAGTGGGTGGGAAAAAATCCTGTAGCATTAACAAACGAACAAACAAACAAACAAAATAAGCACTTCAGGTGTCACCTGCTATTCTTTTTAAGAGAAACTTTCAATATAAACTTTCTTCTCTTTTACCACATCAATGACTCACGATCCAAATGGTCCTGTTTTTTGGCCTGAAAGGCTACCTAGTGTCTGAAAGGGAGCCACTGGCCCAACCAGACTCGCATCTCAGGAGCCTGCCCAGCAGGAAAGGACATCAGCGTGGAGTCTCTTATTCTTCACGCAGCGTGTCGAGTGACAAACAGGATTAGATTAAGTGGCTGGGGAGGAGCGAGGGGGCTTCTAAATCCCATTGGAAAGGGATTTTCACCCGTGGGGGTAGGTCGAGGTCAGAGACACGTAGCACGCTGGCTGCGAGAGGCCCCTCACCATGTGCGGTTACGCACCCTGAGAAAGAACGCGGCTCTAAGAGATTACACGGGGTTTCCTCCTAATACCGAAACATCCTCCTCTGCCTGCCTTTGATGCTGGCCCGCCTTCATTTTAAAATAAATCCAGTTGACTCTTTCAAAACCGCAAAACCTCAACACAAATAAAAATTACAATAGGGAACTGCAAACGCGGGCTCGCGGCGGGCAAATTATATCTTCCCCCGCTTACCTTGATGTGCTTGGCAAGGCGCCACCTCCCTTGGAGGAGCAGCAAATTACAAGCCTCAAATTGGACTCCCGGATTTACAGAATGACATATGCTAAACCTGGCTTCCATTAAAAGGGAGAGTTCAGGTCAGTTGTCAAAGCTGTACTCTCTGCCTTTTTTTTTTTTTTTTTTTTTTTTTTTTTTGCTTCATTTCTGGATGTGGGAGATGACCGCCAGCTCTGGGGCTGAAATCCCAGGTGGGATCTCAGCAGGGGGGCAGGGAGAGCGGGGTATGCATGTGCCTTTTAAAAGAAGACAGACTGCCACTGCTTCCCACAACACAGCAGCTGTTCAGGGACCCGCAGGTGGAAGGTCAGGGGTCCCTGAAATTGACAACGTTGTTGAAAAGTGATCCTTTGCCAAAGGCCTGTGTGGCTGCCTCCTGCTGGGGTCTGCCGAATTCCTGGAAGATGCGGCCTTCTGTCCCCCCTGACCATTAAGGACCGCTTCCCTGGCTAAGAATTGACTAACAATTACTCAAACCCACTGGAGCGGTCAGCTGGAACACAAGCCAGCGAAAGAGGCAGGGAATTGTTTTAAGGAAAAGTGGAAGAAAACCACATATTCGATTGTTCCAGAATGTTTTGCCATCAGACCCGAATTCTCATCCCTGCTCAGTTACTTACTAGTGTGTGATGGTGGACAGCGTTTTTGTTTCTCTAAGCCTCTGTTTCCTCACCTGTGTAATGGATAGAACAACTTCAAAGAGTTCTTGTGAGGGTTAAAGGGATTTCAGTGACGGCAAGAACGAATCCTGGGAACCCATCAGAGCCACACTCACGTGTGCCTGGGAAAGAGCTCACAGTCTAGCTCATTTGATGGTTGTGGCAACCCTGAGGGAGGGCATCTTCGTCCCATTTTTCAGACGGGAGAGGGAAGTGGACATAAAACGTGCAGGGGCCGGTGCTCCTCCCACGAAGCCACAATGACCACCAGCCCCAGGAAGCACCTCGAAATCCCCATCATCCAAAGGAGAACGGAAGCACACATTTCTTTCTACGGGAGAGCAAGCCCTGAAATCCCTCGCCTCCATCCAGATTTAAAACATTAGCAGCTCCAGCTTGCCCTTCAGATCCCTCCCACCAAATGCCGAGCATCTGCTTTTGTTGCAAATACAGAATAACGCCTGACCCCGCACGGCACCCTGGATGCGTCAGGGAGAAGGTAGGTAACGCGGGCTACTTGCGTTAACATGGAGTGGACAAAGAACCAACTTGTCGTTTTTGAGTTTCTGTTGCTTTTCTTAAACAAACAAACAAACAAACAAACAAAAAACCCACACAAAATTCTGGTGAGTTATAGCCCCATGTGGCTGGGTTGGTGAGACTTTCTGTTGTCTCTTCAGGTACGAGTTTTGCCCAGAACGGTGTGCTCCACACCTTAGGCTCTCCGGAAAACACACCCAGAGCCCTCCACAGACTATTCCAGTCGCCAACGGTGTTAACTCTTCCCGGGGAGCTTGCCTGCACCTTGTTTTCCTCTAGTCACTACTCATTGGACTTTACTGCTCAGCCTGTTAGATCCCGCAACCCACCGCACCGGTCCGTTCAGCCTTCTACATCAATGCCAATACTCTGGCTTTTGAATCTCTTTCCAGTATTGCTTATCGACGGAACAGGAATGAGGAATTCTGGAAATCAATAATGTCCCCTTTCTTTAGGACGGGTGGGTATTTGAGGAGAATAATTCTTCCGAGCAAGGAAATAGTTTCAAGAAATGCATGTGCCGTCGATTACACCTACACTTGAAGAAATGCGAGGAACTTAGCAGTCCATTCCTAACCACCGGTGGCCTTTGTTGTCACCAGCGAAAATAAAGATGTTTTCTAGTGTGTGACGGTTGGACATGTGTTTTCTTCATTTGTTATTTAGTCTCAACCAACAACAAAATCCCCCAGCGGGTCTGAGTCTTAAAGGGTATTGGTCGCGGAACCATCATTCCCTGAGAAATAAAAGAGGTCTCAGTTCCCAGAATAAGCCAGTTACACAGATTGAAGACACACACACACTCAAGGCATTAAATGGGAAATTCTATACTTAATCTCCCAAGCCACACAAGCTCAGCTTTCACTAAAACTGAACTT